TTGAATATTTATTTTATTTTAAATGATTTTTCAAATCTAACATATTTAGTTATTTTTTAATCATCTGGCACTCTTGTTGAACCACCATCACTATAATTATCACTATCACTATCAGTATCATTTTCTATACGAATATGTTCTTCCAATTCTTTCCTTCTTATTTCTTCTTCCTTAAAAGTAATATGACAATTACTTTCAATATGGTCAGGAGCATCCTTCATTAAAAAAGTTTCACCACATTCACACTCTACTAATTGTTGTAGTCTTTGCTTCCGGTATTCTTGAATTTGTTTTGGTATATCGTCGCCGAAAAACCTTACTGGTTCTTCATATATTCTTTCTTGAAACATTTTTAACATTCTATAATATATAATAGATATATTTTATTTTAAAAGCTTTCTCAAATCTAACATAAACATATTATTAACATCTTTGGAATTCATATTGACATAAAAGAAGGAGTAGGGCTTGTCATCTACTGCTTTATGATACATATTTAACAGATGCTCTTTATCAACAATGGCAGAGTTTTCCTCAATGAATGACATTAACTCTGATACATTCTTTAACTTGAATATATACAACGAACTTGAATTCAACCTAATGATTGGTGCTAGGACACGGTATTTTTGAACGCTTAAACAAAAACTAATGGCGTCGTGTCTGCCTCTCGTTGCCAGTCCATGTAATAACTTGCTGTATCTAACAAATTTAGGGTCGTCTGCAAAATCATCAACTATGATTAAAATTGAATGTAGTTTCTTCATCTTCTGTTCTTTCATATAATGAATTATCTTTCTTTGCGTGTTAATTATTTCTTCCAGTTCTTCAGGTTGGTAGGTGTCATAATATAACTTTTCTTTTTCATCATCAACCTTCATATTATCTTTTTGATATTTCTTGACTTCAACGAAGGTAGGGTCATTATGAACAGACGGACTAAAAATGAATATACGAGCGAAGCAGTCCCTATAAACATTTAGGATAAGGTTTTGGATTAAAACTGTTTTGCCACCCGTTGATGAAGCAACAACAATTGAGCGAAAAGGTAGTTTTGGTACATGTTCATATTTGGATTGTTTGAATTCATAATCAGTTATGTTTATTGGTTTTATAATGGGAACTTCAGGCATAAAATAATAATATTAAAAATATTTAGAAAATAGATTAATATTATTTATTGTATGAAAGCATTGCTATGATATGAATGGTGTCTATCGTAGTAGAACAGGCTCTTTCATCAACTTCAGTCAATAAGTATTGAAGATAATTAGATTTGTGTCTTGCTCGCGTATGCAATGAAAACCCCAAGTGCTGTGCCCCACCAATATTCTATTATGCATGAAAATAATAAGATTAAATAATTATTTTATCTTATTATTTTATATGAAAAGGAGTTATGCAGATTATATTGATATAATAAATGAAGTACAACATATAGAAGATGTTGTTATAACCGATAATAAAATTAAGAAATGTTGTTATTATTCATTAGAATTAATTAAGCTAGGAATACAATATATCAAAAATAAAAATGTAAATATTAATATAAATGCCAAAAAAGAAAAAGAGTAAAGACAAAGAAAGACCAATGCCAGATATTGAAGCACGGAAAGAAACAGCAGAAAGTGTTAAATCACTGGGTGAAAGTAAGACTATAAAATGTGATAAATGTAATCACGTAATGAATTTTAAAAATGAATTGACAATAGATAAGAAAGGCGGAGTGAAGGTTAGTTGTATTCCTTGTATGTTTTCTTATAAAAGCTCAGATAAGGATTTAAATATTGAGAAAAAAACAGGTGGCGATATGGTTGTTGAAACTAATGAACATTTGATTAATGTTAGTTTTAACAGGGACATAAGTTAGTATTTAAAGAGTAGTTTTAACATAATTTAAACATTTAGTTTTAAAAGTATAGTTGAATAATATAGTATATGGTTGAATTTTCAAGTTTAACACATTTACATTTTGGAGCACTTGAATTAGATAAACAAATTGGAGACAATAATTATAATGGTGTTAGTTATTATACTTGTAAGTGTGGATGTAAAATAGTCTTAACTCGTACTCAAACTAAAAAATATAACCTTTTATTACTTAGTGTTGGTCTTAGCTATGAATATGTATATCTAGACAAAGCGTTAGTATGTGGACATACTCAAAAAGATTTAGATAACATTGTTAGACTTATGGTAGAAGGCGAAGAATTTAAACATTTAAGTAACAGAGACCTTCGAAATTAAAATATGTAGTTTTAAAACTTTAGTTTTATAATATAGTATATATGGAAGGTGTGGATAAACTAATATTGAAAATTGATGAAATAATGGAACAAAATAAACGCATTTATCAACTGTTAGAAAGTATGAAGAAACCAGCTTACAATAATACTAATAATTACCAACCAAAAGAAGTTGATAGAGAGAGCACTGAATACAAGAATAAACGAAATGTATATATTAAAAAACTTAATGAAAAAGTTATTAAAGAACCTAAACAATCAAGTCTGGATGTCTACCAAGTCAAGTATATTGAAGATACCAAGAAATATGTTTAATCATTAACTAACAAAATTTCGTGTCTCAGAAGTGGTTTGTTTATTCCTGCTACTCTGTAAGTTTTATTACCCATAATATCATATTCAATTTTATCAACATTGAATATTTTATTAGACCATTTAGAGTTATACTCTTTTCTGTCGGTGTAATTGCCCCTTTTCTTTTGAAACACTTTTATCTTATCGTTCTCCTGTATTCTGGGATACTTTCTTTTGTTCTTTTCTCGTAGTTTCAGATTGACCTTTACATTTATTTCATTGTCGTCCTTGTGTGCTTCGGTTGGTGTCATCCTTGTTGACGAGTGTAATGTGCTGTTATACTGTTTCAATGCTGGTGTTAAGGCATCGGTCCATTTCATATTATTAAACCTAGCTCTATCATGAATTTTGTTTTTCATTGTCCTAATAAAACGTTCGGCTACATTTGCGTGTGTCTTCGTTATTATGTGTTTGATACCTTCGCTGTTGAAGAAATCCTGAACTTGGTTTTTGGTTGCAAACGCTCCATCATCATCAGAATACACAGACATAGGATAACCCATCTTTTTAAAACTTGCTCTAAGCGCCTTCAAAACGTGCTCTCCGTCTCTTTCCTCCATCGGAATTACATCTGCTAATTTACTGAAGATATCAATCACGACTAAAGCATACTGTGGAACATTCTTGTCTTTAGCTAAAGGTGACATATGCATTATGTCTATTTGATATTCATATCGTGCGAAGGGAGCGGTATAGGAATTAGTGCCTCTATACTTTTTGATTTGTTTATTTGGTTGTTTCTTTAAGAAAGACTTTACATCGTCTAATGTTATTGTTGGGTCTTCTTCCTTTGCCTTCTTGTGTGTTGCTTGTGTGCTTCCGAAACCCTCGTCTAAGTCATAATAGATGTTGCTGATTATTTGGTCTTTCGTTAATCTCGCCATTATATTATTTGTTAGAAAATATTTTTTATCGATATAACCCCCACCCCTTAACATTAAAAAAAACTACTTAAAGAGAAAAAACCTTATATATTAAGAGAAAAATGAGTGAGGGTAAAATGTCTGAGAATAATTTGATGGTTGAGAATTGGACTAGCTTACCTGCTGATGTATTAAAAGGTATCATTTCATATAAATTAGGGGGACCTGAGTATTTGAAAATAAAACATAATCATATTAAGACATTAAATAGAATACAACAACGATATAAAATAAACAGAACAGAAACAAAAAGAAAGACAAAGCGCTATACTGTTGAAGATGGCGATGATATAAAGAGACACGTAATTGAGTATTACATTTCAAGAAATATACCTTTAAGAATTAAAAGCATCGAAGATATAGTTTTTAATGAAAATGAAAACTTAGATTGTTTGTTAGATGGCATTGAAACCGATAACGGTTATGATGCAGTGATAATAGTTGAGGTAAATATGTTTGTAAGGTTTCATCATTTCAATTATTATCATGACGACCATTCTAACACTTTTAGTTTTCATTTTCATAGTGATGATGTTGTAGATAATATAACCATAGATAATATAGCCGATGTAATGAGAGCGGCGCATCAAACAATATACAGTTGTATTGATGATGAAAGAAGTAGAATGAATTTTGGAGGAGTACAAAACATAAGGTTTAAACTAATTGTTGATGAACCTGTGTAATTCATAACTAAAGCATAATTATATCATTTATACTCTTATATGTTATAATTATAGTGAACTTTTAATCTATAAACATTTCATTAAATGACAAACCACAACAACCGCCCAAAAGCCAACCCATGAAACCACAGAAAGTCCTATCCTCTTTCAATCAATAAAACTAAAAGTTGAAATCTGGAACGAAACAGGGGACCAAATCATCAATTCGTTACCACATCCATATCGTTATTTCATGCCCCCAAAATCAGCCTTGAAAAAACGAATAAGGTGGTACACGTGTTGAATTGTGAAAAAGAAAACAGAACAGGCAACCATCTACCCCCCACCCCCTAGGACAAGCCTTTTCTGCATTTTTTAGGGGAGGGGTCTTTTTAGGGGAGGGGGAGGGGTAGGGGGAGTGGGGGGGGGAGGGGAGGTAGGAGGGAAAGGGGGAGGGTTAGGGGGGGTGAGGGGGGCTGAGGGGGAAGGGATGGGAAGGGGAGGGGGTAGGGGGGGGTTTTTCAAAAACCAGCAGCTGTCCCTGGGGTTGATGCTGATTCTCCGAAGAGATCGAGAATGAAAGGATGAGAACTTTGATAAAATTGGCACCCATCTGCTTGCTATTGCCCAAAGCCATTGCCGAGGATTCTCCGCACAAGTTTTACCACACGGAAGGGAAGACACCTTGGTCCGGATTCTTGTCCGTTGCCCGTTCGACCAGCTTCAGAGGGCTCTGTCTGGAGCTAGGCGTGTTGTGGAGCCCTTTAAGGGGTTTTCACAGGAAACCAGATCCGATCTCCGAGCGCCCGCGCTTTCCGACCGGCTCCTGCACAGGAGCAAAAGCTTGAAAGCCGGGATGTCGCACCCCAGTTCCAACCAGTGACCCTGACAAAAAGCGGAACCCTGTTGGGGTTGACAGAATGGGAAGCCGCCAAAAAATAGGGTAACAAGGGTGAACAACGGGGTTGCGGGACAAGGAAACCGAAACCCGCCCAAAGCAAAGACCAGTGATCACAAAGCAACCATTCTGCCCCGCAAGTTTTGACACATACCAACATGCAGCCTGACGAGTGTTCCAAAGCAGAAATTGTGCTGTACACAAATGCGACCAACAACACAAAAGGCCCCGTGTACGCGTTCTTCCAAGCCCCGCAACCTGCTTTTTGCTCAACGCTTTGCATCTTTCAGATGGGTGAAAAAAAGCCGACTCGAAGCATTGAACCAGACCAAACTGCCAGCACGCAAGTCATTGGAGTCTTTAGGGGAGATGCTCAGAATCTCTCACCATTCTACTTGTCTAGTCTTTACAAAGAAAATATCTTGCTACAGATTGACATCTCTTTTGGGCTCGATCTTTCCTTTCCCCCCCCCCCCCGCACCAGGCCGTTTTTTTAAAGGGGGAAATTTGGTCCGAGTGACCGTGCTCGCACGGACCGGCCGAGCCTCGCTGATGTCCAAGGGCGCCGGTCTGTGTCGGGAACCCCAAGGCTTCCAGAAGCCTCGAGGATCGATCGAGAGACGGCCGTCTCTACGTAGAGCCGGACGCTTTGCTTCGGCAGCCCCCTAGGCCCTAGGAAAAAGCAAGCAAGAAACAATGGTATATACACGTAGCTGAGCTTTAAAAAAGAGAAAAACAAAAAAAAAAAAAAAAAAAAAAAAAAAAAAAAAAAAAAAACAAAAAAAATAAAAAAAAAAAAAAATAAAAAAAAAAAAAAAAAAAAAAAAAAAAAAAAAAAAAAAAAAAAAAAAAAAAAAAAAAATAAAAAAAAAAAAAAAAAAAAAAAAAAAAAAAAAAAAAAAAAAAAAAAAAAAAAAAAAAAAAAAAAAAAAAAAAAAAAAAATATAATAAAAAATTAAAAAAAAAAAAAAAAAAAAAAAAAAAAAAAAAAAAAAAAAAAAAAAAAAAAAAAATAAAAAAAAAAAAAAAAAAAAAAAAGAGAAAAACAAAAGTGCCAAGGTGAAGATGTGCAAAGAACATTTGGACCATCTCAAAAAAGAAAACATGACCCGCTCATTTGGGTGGAGCTGTGTGAGCTAAATGCTCAGGCAGCTCCGCACATGGCCCTAGCTAATGCTTCCAAACACATACCTGGAAAACTGGTCGGAAAAATCACTTGACGGTAACCTAAGATCAACAAACCATTGGTTGACTCATTGGGGGGCTATCTCAGAGTTCTTTTGGGTTCCCATCTTTTGGTTTCCATCAACCCAGGAAACATCAACCCCCGTTTCATGGACAATTAGGGGTATCCCATTCAACCCAAATAAGCTTGCTGTCCGATTGGTTTCTTTCAAAGTGCCATCCAAAAGGGAGACGAAGCACAGTATTGACACATGAGTCCTTCAGCCCAATTCGGCCTGGGCATTGCAGCCCAAACTGCATGGGCAAAGACTCCATCATCGGCGCCTGAAGCGCGGACTTGGGCCCTAGGGGCCCTAGGGGCCCTAGGGGTCTCGGGGTCCTTGGGTTCCTTGAAGCTTAAGGTTCCTTGGGTTCCTCAAGGTTCCTGGGGCCCTTTTTCGAAAGCGGACAAGAGATTGCTTGCACCTCGCCTCCCATCCGTCTTGTCGAAGCAACTTTTCGAGCCTAGTGCAAGGCTCTAAGATCCTCGTTTCAGGCGCTAAGGCCCTGTCAACCGCAATTTTAGGTGATGTCCAGATGCAAGCGGTTCCGTCTGAAAAGCGCCCGAAACCACTTGATGTTTGGATCCGCCCGGGTAAAGTGGGGGTAGCCTGACCATCCAAGACCCATGGCCACTGGAGGGGCAAGCGAACCCGTGGCTCGGCAGAAAACAGGCAAGCCCTGCCGGCCACCCCCCCCACCACCCTGCCGGCCACCCCCCGCCTCTGGTCCCATGCCCATGGACTGCCTCGGACGAGCCCAAAGATCCAAAGAGTCTGGTGGTTCTGAGGGCATGGATCCGAAAATGACACTGGCGCTTGAGATTCGAGTCATCATAGCGCTGTGCTTCCTCCAAAGTCTGCCCCCTGTCATTGTCCAACCGCACGCTTTACGCAGGGTATCGTGGTTTGGCCGGTCCCTATCGGTGTCTCTTTCCCGCTCGTTCTGCGTCAGACACAAGACAATTTAAATTTGCGGTGGGTTTCACGGCTCTTGTTGCAACAGAAGCCTCTAGGGCATGAACAGGGGGGGGGGGTTCGCGGGGATGGATAGTGGCCCTGCATGAAATAGTCAAAGCGGGCTCACGTTGCAAAGCGAAAATTCGCCCAAAAATCACTTGGACACAAAGGGATGATCCTTTTGGGCTCTTTCTCTTCATCTACAAGAAAGTACAATGCAAACCAAAACATCCTTTCAGACTCTGAAAACAACGTGAATGCCAAAACCCTTCTCTTAATCTCGGGAGTAAACCAAACCCTTGCTCAGAGATCCCTGAGACAATGGTAGAAAAACGGGAACCCTGAAAAGAGAACCGACGGAAATGGTTTGACAATGCTCTCCTTAACAGAAGTTTGGTCCTCCCTTACAGGCCAAAGCCGCCACCAACATGTGAGCCACATTGAGGGGGAAAGGGAAACCAAAAGAAGACCAAAAGCTATCCATTCCAAAAGCACAAGCCTGGTTCACCCCACTCAAACCCCAAGGCCACAAGGCCACCTTCGCCAAAAATTGAACCTTCCACCAATGAAATTCGATTCGCGCCACGAATCTCCCGCCAACTGCGGCCGCGCCGCATGCCGGGGGGCGGCATCAGGTCGAAGCCGCCCTTGCCGCCCTACGAATTGCTCGCTCGATCCGCCAGGCTCAAGGGGGAAAACCGGACACACGCCATATCCCCATATAAACTCGCCAGAATATTAGACATTTTAGGACCACCCATTCATTGCAAAGGCACTACTTACAAAACTATCTTCTTTGACAAATTTGCGCTGTCATCCGAAAAGCTCCTTTAACCAATGACAACAGCCACAATACTCCCCTGCACACAAACAGAAATGGGATCCCCGACATGGAGATTCCTTGAACAAAACGGAGGGCTCGGGCGCCTTCAGTGTCCCGTACCCCAACGCCCTCAGCGCCCAGCGAAGCCCGGGCCCTCGTCCATGGGAGGCAGCCTGAGCCCAAGGAACCCAACCGTTGGAAACGGGCGATTTGGCAATGGCCACCTCAGGTTGGGTTTTGGGTTTCTGCTGGGTTCGGGTGGGCTCCAACTTCCCAAAAACGGGATGGCTTGGCTCAGGGCCAATGTCTCTGTTTAGCAGCTAGTGTCCCATCAACCGCCTTTGACTCTGTCTTCAAAGGGACCCGAAGCTCGTTGCTTAAACCAGTGTTGCCCAACACTGCAGCTCCAAGGGGTGGCTTGCATGGGTTAGGGGGCAAGATTCAAACCACCACAGCACCCATCCCAGCCACCAATCAGAACCTGAGTGGCTGTAAGTAGTCAGGGGGACCCCCCGCCAAACCACCTGGCTGTTTCCAACAAGTAAAGGCATCTCGTGGTTTTTTTTCTCTTTTTTTTTAGGGGTCGAAGCACCATGTTGGGAAACTCCCTGCCCCGTGCTTCCTTGGACCCCACACCCCGGAGGCATAAAGCCCATGCTCTGGTTCACCGGGAAGAAGCTCCGCAAGAAGTGCTCGGACTTGATGGCGGCATTCACCGGCTTCCCCTGAACAGTCCAGTCATCCCTCAATCTTCAAACTTCGGGAAAGCCCATGGCGTTGTGGCCCCCCCTTAAAAGGGCACCGAGCCACACAAACAAAAGACGGACCACGCCCAAGCGGACGCCAAACCCTGGATGGACGTTTCCTGAGCTCGCTCCTCCTGGCGGAAGTGGACCATGTGGCGAACATCAAACCGCATCCTTACCCGCGACAGCGCTCGTGAAAGATTTAAATCCCATGCAAACCAAACCCTGAGGCAAGGACCTGAGAGAAACAATGAGCGAATCTCCTGAGATCTAAGTTTGGCCACTACCTGTCTCTAGGTACTTGTCGCCCCGCGTATGAAAACACTTGTTAAGGGACTTTGGCTATTTGCAAGTTCCTGCGCAGCTATGTGGTCCCCAACATGGCTGGTTTGCTTGTGATTGCTTTTGAACCACAAAGCGCAGCTGGAAGTGAAGCTGACCCGATCATGCACGGTTTGAAGGGGGAAGACTTCATGGAAAGTCGCCAAAAAGCCAAGTCTTACCCATTCCAATGTGTCAACTTCCTGACCCGAAGGAAAAATCACAGGTCGTCAACCTCGCGGCTGGTCCGGGAAAAAAAAACTTGCCAAATGTAGGCGTGTCATTGTTTGTTGGGGAGACCCGCACTTCGATGGGAATTTCAGGGAAACCACAAGGCAACCCATCATTGTGGCGATCCCACTCCAAGTTTTGAGAGTAAGCCCATCTGCACCTAGTTGCTTAGCAGCTCTTGAGAACATGATCTCCAGCAACCTTCCCTCTGGTGCCATTTCGCTCAAAAGTAAATTTATTCATTCCAGTTGAAAAGTACATCCAAACCAAAAAAGCTGCTGAGAAAAGACTGACCAACCAGAAACGAGCCTTGCTGCTCCTTGTTTTGCCTTTTCTTCCGGCCCCCTGAGGCCAGAACAGCCGGACTGCGCTTTGTCTGGCTAAGTTAGCAAGTGGCGGCAGACTTCGCCCCTAGGAGTGGCAAAAGGTTTCCGGTTGGTCTCCCTGCAATTGCCAACTCAAAGGCCATTTGAAGAGGCACACTAGCGCTAAGACTGGCTGGTTCTCAGAAGGAAGGACCATGTTCAGAACCTCTCGCCCCTATCCAGGCCCCTTACAGAAAAACGGGCCAGGCCTTGAAGCTTTGGGACCGCAGCCACAAAACCACGTCCTGTGCCCCGTCGTCCACGTTGAACTTCAGGAACCAGGTGTTGTTCACCTACGGCGGGAAGAGAGGGGGCCAATCCTTGAACTAGGGTTTCAACACCTGCTTGAACACCTTATGTTGGCTTCGGGAGCCAGGGTGGGGGGGCTGGGCATGTGGGTGTGCGCATTGTGCGCCTGATGTTTTTCTAACACCCTCAAAGTCACTTTGAGAACCCGTGCGAAACTTCTAGTCAAGATTGAGGAAGTGGTCCCAATGACCAGTCGAAAATCGCTGCCCTCCTGCTTTTTGCAATGGTCCCAAAGCAGCAACAAATGTGTCCGCGTGGTAGTGCTGTTCACCAGCAAGTGTCTCTTTTTGTGGGGTACCCTTGTGAGGATGTTTGAGGGGAAACCATTCATTTTGAGTATCGATCTCTAACGGGAACCAAAAGAGGCATGGTTCAAACATGCGGGCTTGACTCTTGTGGGTCTTGTTTCAACCAAATAAATCCGGTGATTCCTGGTCACCTGGAGGTGCTAGATGGACCTGTCCTGGAAGTGCGGATTTGTGCTGACCTATCCCTGCCATGTGTGCCGCCTTTCAAACAGGTCCCTTGAAGAAGTTCATTTGACTATTTGGCAAACCTAACACCTGTGGGTATCCTGTTTGAAGTACCCCGTTGTTGCCTTGAGGACCCACCGATTTGACCGTTTCTCTGTGGCTTTCCTTTGAAGCTTGCGTGCGTACCAAGGTGTGTTGCCTCGACATGAACCCCTATCCCATGCTTGTTGCCAGAACCTCGTGATTGAGCAGCACCTGACAACGATGGCATACCAAAGCATGGGTTTGCCTAGTTTAAGACTCCCACGTTCAGATTATCGCAATCCCTGAGAACTCGGCATGCACGGAGTCTTGCGAGGTCGACCTTCAAAGCCCCCTTTGAGGCGGGGTGAGACAAACGCTTGTGTGTGGGCATGTGTCAAGCAAGACCGATTGGCTAGTTTGGCTTGTCCCGCCATCTTGAAACAGAAATCAGTTCAACCCTGGATGGTCTTTGCACTTTTGGCACCCATGGCGCCACCAATACTGAGTGTCCTTTCAGCCGTGAAAAACCTGGTTGGTTCCCTGTAAGACAACCCCACGGAGAGGTTCACTGAAAGAAACACATACTGCGCAAGCAACAAAAAGCAAAAAGTGATCGTGCCCCAAACCAGAACCTAAAAAAGGACACATATCTTTCAGGTTCCAGGCCCCACAAAATCCAAGCATACCTTTGGTGCAGCCCCGCCTCCGGCTTTACGCTCACCACGTTCTCGCCGTAAGGCCCGCTGCGCAGCAGCGCCATGATCTCCGCCTGGCGCAGGTTGACGTCCATTTCCAGAAGCACCCTCTTTTTGGGGCGTGTAACAGAGGCACGCACTCATTTGAGGGCTTGTTCTCTCCACAGTTTGAGACCGAAACGTGCTGAGAGGACTGCGCCAACCCACTGCCAAATGAGCCAGGAAAACCAGCTGATCTGGAATGCATGAAATATATCTTAATAAATGTTGGGCATTGGACGCATGCTGGTTTATTTAAAAAAAATAAACCAGTGCTGGTTTAAACCAGCAACACCGGGTTGGCCCTCTCATTGAAAAAGGTTTGGCGCGAGGTTTTGACGTCCCAACCTCTAAGGTTCACGTTTGTCACGAAACAAAACCGGCTTACCCATGTGCTGCTCCGGGGACTCAACCTCTTGGAAGCCAAGAGGAATCTGTTGTGATCCAACTCAGGCGTCCCTAATGAGTCTACCTTCGAATCAAACAGGAGTGCGTCAAAACACGAGGAATGGACGCTGTTTTAGGGCCGTTGGAACAGAACCAAATCACTTGAGAGGGGTTCCCCAGCTTTTTGCACATGTGGCAGCCCTGAGATGCTGTTGGCGCTAGATGCAAAAAGAAACATCAGCCGTGGAAAGATCCACCAACCAACTCTCGAACACCTGTCGGGGGCTTGCCCAGATTAAACCTTCGTCAATGTTGCGAAACCCAAGCGAGGCCGAAGAGCTGGTTTGGAGCTCTGTCTTGAAATTGTAAGAAAGGGAACCTGGAACTCTGCCCCAAAGGACAGGTCCAAGTCCAAGGTCGGCTCTGGTGGGGAACCTTCTTTCCTTTCTGGAGCTCATCTCTTTGACCCATCCTGGAGCAAGGAAAGTTTGCGTGCCTTTCGACCATCTACGGTTGAAAGGTCGTAGAAGGTAACCCAGACAGACTCCGCAAAATCTAGACCTTCATGTGCAAGCTCGCTTACCCTGGGGTGTCGCCTTAAATTAGCAGACTGAGAAACCTGAGATCTTCATGATGGGGGAGCCCGTCTACCCCCAGGTGAGCTGGCCATATGTTGTGCAAGCCTCGGTGGAATCATCTGGCAGGTCCCGAAGGATGACCACATTCCGCTTGGACTTCAGCACTGGCCGGACCTGAACCAACGAGTTCTGTTGCAGTTTGAACATGGGGGAACTGCCAAAATATAAAATAGGCGTCGTTTCTTGTTGGTTTCTCCTTGAACGCCCCAGAAAACCTACATTTCATAACTAGAGGGTGCGGGAAGGATTGACTAACAAGCGCTTTCACCTTGTTGTTGCGTACGCCGTTGGAACCGGCGCTGGAGTTTTGAGCCGTTTTTGACACTTTTGCATGAATCACTTGGTTTTTCCTTGCATTTCAGCGTGGGGGGGGGTTGGGGGGGGGGTTCGGGGGGGGGGGCTGATAAGCATCCATGTCTGGTAAGCATCCATGTCTGGTAAGCGTTCACTGCTTTTATCCGGGCTCAGAGTCTTAAGCAGGCTGTCGAATTTTCCAGGTTTTCCATGGAAGTGCCATGCACGCCGCAGAAGCGCCGCAAAACTGCGGCCGAGTCTCCGTTGTCCGTTCGATCAGATGCCATGAGCCTGCAGATGTTTTCACCGATTGATTTGAGATCGCCAGGAACACCGTTTCTGGGAAACTATTGGCAGCTAGTTTGAAAACCCAGGTTTTGTTTTGTTTTGTTTTTTTGTTTTTGGTTTTTATGTGCTTTAAATCTCCCGAAATTGGCATTTGAGGCTTCCGCATGAGCCATCGTCTTCACGAGCTGGCAGCGTGGCCCCAGAGCAACCAGTGCAGCCAGTGGTGCCTTTTGCTGCGGGCGCTGTGGCCGCACGCATTGCTGTGGAACTGGGCTGTGAGGAGCTGCCAGCAATGGCTCACAATAGGAGCTTGCACCTTCGACCTGGGCCATATCTCATCATGCCCAATGATTGGCCACACTGTGCAACGTGGTGTGCTCGTGTCATTGAAGCAGCAGGCTTCAGCAGTGCAGCCCGCACTCTGCGTGGGATGAGAGCTCGCGCAGAGCAGGCGCTTGTCAAGCTTGCCCGCGCGGAAGCACAGCACTGGCAAGAAGTGGGTCGCTTTGATCTAGCACACACGTGGCAGAGCAAGATCGATGCTGCGCTGGCGCTGTCTGCCAACAGGAGCTATTGGTATCCGGTGGCTCGGGCTGATCTAGAAGAGTTTCGGGCGAACAGACGCTGGGAAGACAGGCGAAGGAAGCAAGCTACAATGCATGACTTTGCTTCTTCCAGCGCAGCAGGGCCAACCTTCCAAGATCGCTTGCGGGCTGAGCTATGCTTGAAGATGCAGAACCCAGAAGCAGAACCAATGGACATCATGTGGTCCGCGTTGACAAGCCTCAGCCGCGGTGGCACTCCGTGGGTTGCTATAGCTGAGCTGCAGTCTGTGCTGCCGTTTGAGCAGCCAATGGTGGAAGAGTGCATTGGCAGCTACGCCAGCATCGGCATGATCTATTTTCGGCAGGCTGACCAAGCAGTTTGCCTTGCTGAGGCTTGGGATGAAGCAGCAGTAGACCGTCAGCAGCTTGTGGCTAACGCAGTGGAGTGGCTTGAGTTTTTTCGGTCGCAACAGACGACCTAATCCGGAGGCAACAAACCATTGCAATAGTGAAGAGATAAAAATCCATCATGCTATTCGGCTTTTTCAAGGTTGACAAGTTGCAAGGTCTTTGCAGTGGCTAGGTCATGATTTGGCTAGGTCTTGACAGGTTGGTTAGAAGACCGCATTCTGCAGCCTTTTGGCTTCCCAGTTTTGCCATGCCCGGTTGCCGCTTATGCGGCCGCCAGGGGCATAATTACTTGACTTGCCAGATTCAAGGAGCGGCGGAATATCGCGCTTTGAAGAAGGGCGCGAATGGCTCTGCTTCTAGAGGGAAGTCACGAACTTGCAGAGGAACAGGCTTTGCTGCGCTCAGAAAAGTGAAAAAGCCAGCCATGAAGCGGCCTGCTGCTTCCAAGTCTACTAGGCGAAAGGAATATAGCGGCGATGTTCTGGGTGCTGGCGACAGGCGTGACCGGCAGTGGTCTGGACCGCAAGTTGCAGGAGTGACGAATGAAGAAGCTCTGAAGCATTTGCTGGCTTCGCGTTTGCTGCAGCGGCCTGCCAGATGTGACTCATGTCATGGCTACCTCTGCGGCCCTTATCCGCGCAAAGACATTGTTTCCCAGCAGCTGTATTGGCATTGCACAAACGAGGACTGCCGGAGCAGAATCAATGTCTTAAGCTGCAACAACTGGCTGAACAGAGATGGTGTGGAGAAGCACAACCGCGCATTGACGCCTTTGCATCTCTTCATCATAGTGATCAGCTACTTTTCAGAAACCAATCCTCGGCCAAGCAAGCCGGCCAAGATTGCCAAGATCAATGAGCACCTGTGCATTCTGGTTTTTCAAAAGCTTCGGGGCTTAGAAGCCCGCCAAGGCAGACTTCAGCTGGAGCAGTTGCGCCTCAAGGGCCAGATAGAAGTGGACGCAACAACAATCAGAAAACTGCACATAAGCAAATCGAATCCATCTTGGGCTGTCCCTATTCGGGCTTGGCAGGAACGGCATGGACAGCAGGCTCTGCCACCATGGTTTGATGTGCACGTCAGAATCGGAGGAGCCAAAGAACGCGGCTCTACTGGCAAGATTCTGATGTCACCTTTGCCATACGTGTTGTTGAAGCCATCGGCAAGGCCACCTACCGAAAGCAGTTTAGATGTGATGTCTTCTGACTTGATTTCCAAAGTCAGGCCAGGGGCCACTGTCTACGGGGATGGTGCTCGCAGCTGGCGCAGTGCATGTGAAGACGCAGGTCTTGAGTTCTTCCAGGTTCGACATTGCCTTATGGAGTTCAGCTGCCATTTCTGCACGGGAGGCCGCACAAAAGTCGCTGGAACGCAGGCTCTGGACTCATGCTGGCGTCGATTAAAAGAATACTTGCCGCGAGAAGTTCAGGCAAAACATGTGGGAAGCAAGCTGGTGAATCCAGCTCTTCATGAATACGTTTTTTCATGGCAATGGCGCATGAACGCAGGCAAGGATCTGTGGGCTGCGTTGCCATCTTTAAACCCTTAGAAAGCATGAACAAAAGCGCCGCCCTCAGTGCTGGGGAGGGTTTGTTTCTAGGCCGCCGCTTGAATCTGCCTTGATGTTTTTTGCACTTACACATTCTTTCAGAACGTGCCAAAAACCTCAACGTGCCAAAAACCTCAACGCCGGTTCGCGCGGCGAAGCCTAGTTTATGGGTTAGTTAACCGTTAGTCTTGGCTCAATTATGGAAAGCTAGCCCCCGAATTGGAAAACCATCCTGTAAGGCCGCTCCAGTTCAAAACAGGTGCCAACTCGCTTCCACGAACGTGGGACGAATTTTCCAGAACGGCAACGGGCGGGGAGATGCCTTGGCCAGATTTGTTTCAGTTCCAGCAAAGAGCGCAAGCAAAATGGCCCAAGAAGGGGTCCCAACTCTGACTCGACCTTTCGGAGCAATTTGGATCCAAGGTTTGGAGCCTGGATTCCTCAACATATCCTGACTGGCTATGGTCAGTACACAAAACTCTGCTTTGTCCCCACCACCCGGGGAACTCACCCCAAAAATTCCCCGTAGAGGGCAAAAACGCCGCGGATGTTTTGGCCTGCGACCTCCGCAGTTCTTGTCCTACGTGCTGAACTTCTGCTTCTTGCTCCACATCATCCTGGTGGGCCGCTGCCTTGGAGTTTGGGCGACCAAAAGTTCAACTGGCTGTGGGTCAAAATTGAACCACCAGGGGACCGCAGGTTTTCGTGTATGTTTCCTTCTACCAGGGTTCCATTTGGGTACCTATTCTTGACCCGCAGCCAACTGGTTTCCAGAGGGAATGGAGGGCCCCAACTCTGCAGCCCCGGTTTTCCCAAGCTGGGTCAGTTCACGTTGCCACGAATGACCAAACCTGAAGGGTATCTTGGGTGTTCGGCCAAGCAGGTGTTGGCGACCTAGGTTACAACCCACTTATGAGTCCCCCCAGGGTTGAAACTTGTTAAAAAGGGGGTTGAAGGGGTTGATGCTTCCTTTTTGCAGGGGCCAAACTTCGTTAGCTTGATCCCAACGTCAGATGGGATGATTTTGGTGGAACCAGAGGTGTGCTGCTGATGATCTTCATCAGAATGGATGAGGACAGGGCGGTCGAATGAGAGGTCCTGTGGCAGACTGAATTTTGTCGGATGTTTTGAACCCCTGGTTGGTTTTTTTCTATTTGCTTAATATGTTTTAGTTTCCCCTGTTGGTTTTAAAGAGAAGCTATCACTCTTGGAATTGTTAACATTTTTCTTCTATTGGACTCCAGCAAATAAAGGATTTGATCGGGGAATGTGACCATGTCAGAGGCAAGCCTTTCTTTTTGGACGAACACCAGCCTGCCAGGTAACGGTGGATGCCAGTATTTGCAAGTCAGGGAACAAGATCATCCCCTGAATTTACTGCATTTAGTTGGGCTTTTTGGTTGGGTGATTCACTCCGCACCTCTAACTTTGGGGAGCTCCGGCGGGGCTTTCGAAACATGTGGAGCTTGCCTTTGCTTTCCCCGAAAGAAGACAACCCTCCCGGAAACGGCGCGAAAAGACAAACAGATCTGAGAAGACTTGTGGGTAACAACGGAAACAAGGGAGTATGTTTTTTCCGTCACAATGCCACGGCCTCTTTGGTTGATTCCCCCAACGAATATGGAGGATGTTGGGCAGCTGCTAGCTTAGACCAACTTTTCCCGGGGCTTCCATGTGGGTTTGTCCTTTGTTTGACCCGTTTTGGGATTGGTTTAAAGGGAATCCAAAAGGACACGATTTGTTGGGTCCTCCATTCTAACACATTCCCATTTGGTTGGATCGTTAACCTTTAACTTTTGAGGGACATGTTTTTTTCTTCGCCCACAAAAGGTTACACTTTTGGCGCAGGGGGCATAGCCACCAAGTTAAAGAAGTCGTGCTGGGTGATGATTGCAGGGGAGCCCTAGGAATGCGTTCAGGGACATCTTCAATTGGGTGTCGGACTGGGACTTCCTCGCTTTCGCTGGGTGTTGATCCTGAAATTCGGTGAGCTGAGTTGGCAGGTTTGTGCATCATTGTAGTGGCCCAAAAAGATCTCTCATTTTTCTCAGTCAACTCAGCAGGTCAGTAAGACTGTTGCCCCACGATCCAAGTGGGAATCCCCAACTTGACACTTCGGTTCCGATTTTGTGTGCTTTCAGTCTGCTTTGTTCGGGACGATTCGGGACAGGGGGGCCTCACTCAAAGCTCATTTTAGAACAAAGCATGGGGACTCACGAACTCTTAAATCAACATGTGACCCCCCTTTCTTGTTGTGGTTTTAAAGGAAAGGCCGAAGGGCACCCACCATTTGTTTGTTTTTTGTTTTGGGGGGGTCACCAAGAAACGACGCACCCATGTAGACTCACAGTTCTGACAAACACCAGGCTCCCTGATGTCCCGCATCGGAAGAATCGCCAGGCGACGGGTGGCGACACCTATCCCATCCTCAGGAATGTCCTCATGGCGTTCTCCATAGGCGTGGGAAGCCGTGTTGAATTTCTCCCCTGTTGGCTTTAGGACTCACAGTGGAGGTAGTGAGTAGCTTTGAAGGGAAATTCAGGGGACTCACAATAAGCAAACGGAGGCAGTGAATATGGAACCCCCTTGCATGGACCTTGACGTCGCCAATCGAATTCGGGCCACGGGGTGCATGTGTTTTGCTTTGTTTTGAGTTTTGAATGGTTCGTTGGCACGAGGCTCCCAGTCAGGCTGTTGTTTTGTGCGGTTTTTCCTGTCTGGCTTGTGTTTTCAGGTAACCCTTACAGTTCGTTTGGATTCGTTTGAGGGTTTGAACCCCCTCTTGTTGAGGGCAAATGGGACATCACGAGAGGGAAGCTGAGCTGTTGTTGCCCCGTTATCCGCCTCACCGGTGTTTTGTCGGTACGGTCTGGGTCGATTTTTTGCAGGTGCTAGTGTGATGGGAAGGTGGTCGTTTTTGAACGCGTGTTTCGGCTCGTTTTTGAACGCGTGTTTTGGCTCGTTTTTGAACGCGGTTTTGCTCAAGTGTATGTGATTTACAGCAGCACGGCCGTTTTCCAAGTGTCCATGCACACCACGATGAGGCGCACGAACACGCACCACGATGCACGTGTAGCACATGGATGGCGCCGTGCTTTTGGGAGACAATCGTCAACTGTAGACCCGGGAACACAAAGCACAAGGAACGCAAAGCGACATCATCATCATCATCATCATCGTCAACATCACCATCAGCATCATCATCGTCGTCAACATCATCATCATCATCGTCACCATCATCATTACCATCATCATCAACATCGTCATCATCACTACCAACAACATCACCATCATCAACATCAACACCAACATCATCACCACCATCATCAACATCACCACCAACATCTATATCATCATCATCAACAACACCGTCAACATCACCATCATCATCATCATCATCATCATCACCATCATCATCACCATTATCATCATCATCAACATCACCATCGTCAAGATTTTCATCAACATCGTCAACATGAACATCATCACCATCATCATCATCATTAACAACATCATCACCATTATCAACATCAACGTCGACATCCCCACCATCATCGACATCATCAAAGTCATCGCCATCGACATCCTCATCGGCAACATCAATATCATCATCATTAACATCATCACCATCATCATCAACATCATCACCGTCACCATCATCATCATCAACATCATCATCATCAACATGGTCAACATAATCATCATCATCATCATCATCATCATCATCATCACCATCATCATGACCATCATCATCAACATCGTCATCATCGCTACCAACAACACCGCCGTCACCACCAGCGCGCAGTCGCACGGTCACGCAGTAAGAGGCGAACGTAACTGCCCCACCCCATCCCCCCCCCCTCAGGACGCAGTCGCACGGTCACGCAGCAAGAAGCGAACGTAACTGCCCCACCCCACCCCCCCCCCCCCCAGCCCCAATACGCAGTTGCGCCGCCACGCAGTAAGCGGCGATCGCAATTCCAGGAGGCTCCGATTCGCAAGTTACTTAGGCCGTATGAGCTAAGGAGGTTTTTTGTGTCGCGAGGACAAGATAACTCAGAGCTTGAAATTTCACGAGTTTTCACGGCTTTTTCACGGAGTAGTAGCGGCCTTTCAGTTTCCCGCGCGAGTTATTACGGCCGTTAGACCGTGCTTTCACGGCTTTACGGGGGCCAACGGGCGCAAGTCGCCGAGGACATCTTAGCTCAAAAAGCCAAGGTAACTTGGGACTCGGAGCCTCCTGGTTGCCCCCTGCCCCCAGGGCGCAGTTGCACGGGCACGCAGTAAGAGGCGAACGCAACTGCCCCACCCCACCCCCCCCCACCCCACGGGTGCCGCAGGATAGCCCCCCCATGTGTTCGAAAATGACCCACTCTGTGTTCGAAAATGATCCAGGACATCGGTGTTCGAAAATGATCCAAAATCGGTGTTCGAAAATGATCCCCCTCCCAGTGTGATTGGTTTGACGTGTTCGGCTTCTTCGGAGAGCTTAGGCATGTGGCTATTCCCAGGATTGGTAAAGCCTGGTTGATTGACAGGGGGTGGCTCATCTAAGCCGGCCCTATTCTAGGGTCTCCTCCAAAATTATTGTGAGTCTTGGGTAGACGAATCGTGAACCAGAATCTGAACATGCAGTTTGTTTTGTGAACCTCAGCTTTGGGTCAGGTTTCGGGGTGTCACCCACAGGCTCACTCCCAGAGTTCCTGGACTTTGCACTTTTTGGAAACATAGGTGCGCTTTTGAGGTCAGCTTGGATAGAAATAGGTGGCGCTGCTTCAAATTGTGTTTTTTTCTCCAGCTACCAGGCCATCTATTTTTTCCAAAGGGTCACCTGTGTTTGGGAAGATCTTCTATGAGTGATAAACCAACTCGTTTGGTTTCCTGTTTGGGCCAATCCCCTCCATAAGTGAGGAGAAGAACCGGCAGCATGGACCCCCCACACGCCACTTGACTCCGATCGAATCCCCATGCGATGCGCTCAGTCCTGGTGGTGCTCTTCTTGCTGGTGATCGGCATCCCCGCCGCGCGCATGACCCTAGGCCTGGATCCAGTGGCGTTGGGAAGACGTTCGCCGGGGGCCAGGACCTCTTCCCTGCCCATGTGAGTGTGTCCTGTTTGGAGGGTAACTGGGTACCCTGGGAATTGTTCGCAAGTTGATGCAGGGAAAGGAAAGGACACTATTCATAGGGTGGTACCCTATTTTCAAGACCAGCCCGAATTTTGAAAACCAGGGGGGTCTTTTGGCGGTTTCAAGAGCAAGCTTGTTTGGCCGAGACTGGGGTTAGGCTCGGCATTCAGGGGCCAACCAAATGAAACCATTGGGATGGGCCGATACGTGTCAGAGTGTTTTGGAACCGCTCAACTGATGGAGGGGGATAGGCCGGAAGCTACATTGAAAGTGCCTAATCTGGATTTCAGCTTGCCAAGGTACATGTCTTAGGGTGCGCCTCGCGATTTTCCTGAGGGGGCAAGCCTCTACATCAGACCTCGTGGATTCCTGGGAGGCTTGAGTTCAGATTGTCTGGCAATGGGGTGCGCGGGAAATGCCGTCATCGACGCTCCAGCTTCAGCTGGCTTCAGGCTTGACGTGCGTCAGCCGTTTTGCTGACGGGATCATTTCAATGCATGGCAATGAGAAAAGACATAGTGCCTCTTTGTCAGTTGTTAGAGGAATCGGAGAACCCCCAGCTGATAGATACCGGCAGTCAACCCAACAAGGAAGCAGTACACGCTTCGTACCACGTCATAGGGTGTAGTTTTTGGTATAGCCACCCGATCTGCCCTTTTCCGCGTGGAGAAGACATTGGGTGTGCCTGAGGGTATCCGTTGTTCGGGAAAGCGCTTGCTTTTGGGCTCCCCTATTTCCGAATGGTCCAATCGCATAAGTTCCGAGTCTTGACCGAGGGAGGGGGGCGGGGTTCGAAGCCTTTTGTTGGAGGGAAACTCGGGGGTCTTTGCATTTGACAAAGCAAGACCGCAATGGTTTTGATCATCCCAAACCTTCCAAAGACCCGGTAAAACCGGGTTGTTGGTGGAAAGACCCTGCTTTACCTCGCTCGATTCGCGGACTTCAAACTTTATGGGACAACCAGTTTACAGTCGTTTAGACATAGTTGGGACTTTTGTTGGCCAATCCACTGGATCGGTGGCTGAGTTGCCCTTTTAGGTGTCCTTCGGGTGGGTTTAGTCGGGTTCTGCGGCCACGTCTTCCACCCACCCCGGGCGAGGTGTGCAAGTTGCGGCCTGGCAGCACCACTATAACACGGCCATAAGGCCCGAGACCCCAGACAGAGCGATTCGGTCGATGGGGTCGATTCGGCGGAAAGCCTTGCTCTTCCTGGGCCATGTGTGTGTGTGTGTGTTCTTTTGAAGGATTCGGACCCCCAAACACGGATTTCGCTGTTCCTGTTTTTTTAGCTCAGTGCTTGTCGCGAGCAACAAGCTTAGCGAGGGGCGATTTCGCTCGGACCAGTTCGCCGCCGCGTTCATTGGCCTTCCGCTTGAGGTCATTGGACATGGAGATTGTGACCTAAAATGGGTACCAACTCCAAAAAAGGACAGTCCCACTTTTGAACAGCGGCAGGCGTACTGAATTGCAACACCTTTGTGTCGAGTGTCTGGCTTGGAGAATAATGTTGTTCCCCAAAAAATCAACCCCAGTTTATTACTCGGGGCATGCTTCTCCCTGGAATGGTTTCTTTTGGGCTTCCCTTTGAAACCACAGAGTTCGTACTCTTTAGTTTTGTGGTTTTACAGGGAAGCAAAAAAAACGAATTCATTTTGGGGGGTCGATTCCGAAAAATGAGACGCCCAAAATGGGCCCGGTCAAAAGACCACCCCCCCCCCCCTAAGCCTGGTGAAAAATTCAGGCCAAAGGACCTGATCTGTTCTTGGGCCCAGGAACCAAGTGAAATGGAGGTCCTAAAACCGTGCTTGTTTTGGGGCCAACCAAGAGGTGAAATAGAGGTCCAACCACGCCCAATATTGTTGGGCACATAAACCAGGTGAAGTGAGGTAGCCTGTCTTGGGGTTACAGGTTCAGGGAAAGCTCCAAACTTGCCAAGTCTCAGCGGACCCCTTTGAGGGGCTTTAATATACAGCTTGCGCTGAAATTGGTTGGTTTCCTTTTAAACTCCTGTCCAAAGTTTGTTATTTACATATTTTTTTTAAATCATGTTGAGCCACTTCCTATGAGCTCGTCATGTTCAGCTGTGCCCCACCGAATTCATCTGTTTGCACCCAAGGCAAGCCTGTTCTCCTGAGGGGGTGGAGCAAAACGGGGGCGCCGTAGACTCCTTCAAGCCTTGAAGGGGTTGAGAACGTTCCCCTCTGACCTCCTTACTTCTTGAGATCGGTCCAAAGTCGGAATTTCTTGTTGCCGCTTACCCTCCCATCCACGGCCAGTTGGGATCTCAATGGTTCCAGCAGCGATGGAGTACCACCTTTCCTGTTGCGATGCCAGGAAAGGTCGATCTTTCGGGCTCCATCTTCTGAGGCTGCAAAAATATAATATATATATATATATCGCCATTGCGGGGCTCCCCAAGCGAAATGACGAGCCCCCGTCGTGTCACCACGGCGAAGGACCTCCGAAACCGAGGCCCGAGGCGAAGTTCCGGAGGCGGCAGCAAGAGGCTCCAGCCGCTGCGGCGGGCGGAGGCGGGGGGCGGGGGGGGGCGGTGGGAGTAGTTTCGGGGTAGGTTTTTTCAGGAAGGAGTTGTTTTCTGAGGAAGGAGTCGTTTTTTCCCCAGATAGCTGAAAGCTATAGGGGTTCTAACTTCTAATAAAGAGTGGAAAGTGATTTTCGAGATTGAGGGCCGGGTGCTAGGGGGCATGCAGTTTGGGGTGCTGGTGGATGCTGCTTTCCAAGCTTGACGGCCGGGTGTTAGGGGGCATGCAATTTGGGGGTGCTGGTGGATGCTGCTTTGCGAGCTTGACGGCCGAGTGCTAAGGGGCATGCAGTTTGGGGTGCTGGTGGATGCTGCTTTGCGAGCTTGACGGCCGGGTGCTAAGGGGCATGCAGTTTGGGGTGCTGGTGGATGCTGCTTTGCGAGCTTGATGGCCGGGTGCTAGGGGGCATGCAGTTTGAGGTGCTGGTGGAGGGGCACGCAGTTTGGGGTGCTGGTGGATGCTGTTCGCGCGCGAACGGTTCGTGGCTGGTGTATCGTCATGATACAACTGGGGTCACTGCGATGCTGCGTTATGGTTTGTGGTTGTAGTGGCGCCGTGATGCTGTCAACATCAGGATGATGCTGATACGCTGTCGCAAGATGGTTCGTGGCTGTATCATCATGATGCTGCCTTTACCATCAGCATGATGCTGTTTGCATCACCATGATGCTGTCCGCATCATGATGATGCTGTCCGCGTCATCATGATGCTGTCGAACTCATCAGAACTGTATCAGCATGATGCTCTCAACATCATCAGTATGCTGCTAAACTCATTAGGACGTTGTATGCGCGTTTGTAGCGCACCATGCTCAGCGGCTGTGGTATCATCATGGTGCTGTCTACATCATCATGATAATGCTGCGTCATGGTTCGTAGCCGTGGTGTGCTATCTGGGGTCTATGCTGGTGTATTTTTTTTCCCAGATAGCTGAAAGCTCTAGGGGTTCTAACTTCTAATAAAGAGGGGAAAGTGATTTGCGAGATTGACGGCTGGGTGCTAGGGGGCGTGCAGCTGGTGGTGCACATGTTGTTAGGGTGTGCTGTTTGGGGAGCTGTTTGTGGTGCAGGTGACGGTGCGGGCACAGTTTTGCAAGATTGACCGGGTGCTTTTGGGCAGTTTGGGGTGCTGGTTCTGGTGCTGTTTTGGGAGTGCTGGTGACGGTGCGGGCGCACTTTTACGAGATTGACAGCAGGGTGCAGGAAATTGCTGTTTGGGGTTGCTGCTTGGTGCAGTTTGGGGTGCTGGTGCAGGTGCTGTTTTGGGGTGTGGCGTTTTTGCAAGATTGATGGCAGGGTGTTTGGGGGCATGCAGCTTTGGGTGCTGTTGGAGGAGTGTGGGCGTCCGGGGGTGCTGTTAGAGGTGTTGGTGCGCAATCCTTCGCCTGTTTTTTGCTATCTGGGGTCTACGCTGGTGTATTTTTTTTGGGGGGAGGAGTTTTTTGTTTTTTTTTTGGGGGGGGTTGTGGGGGGGGTTGAAGGTTCTTGGGCAAGGCGCTTTGTGTGTTTCCTGGATGAGTTGATCTGTCCAGGCGACGAGCACTTGTGTTGTTTGCTTTTGTTTTGTGGCGGGTTCAGACGACTGGAGAGGAGTGGGGGGCCATGAGAGCCTGTTTTTTAGTTCCGTTGCGTAGGACGGGTGGGAATGTTAGCAAAAGTCTGTGATAATTGGAGGTGTTTTGGGGTGGTTTCACATTCCTCTAGAACCATGGGTTCAAATCTGCTACCTGAGAGGCTTGGGCTTGAAGCTTGAAGACCTTTCCGGGGTTGGCCGAAAGTTGGGACATGTTGACACGGCCAGTTTGTGAGAACGTGCTTGGCTTTCCACGGGCATCGCCCGGACCGGTCAAAACCACGACTTTGTTTGGATCCTACCTTCCGCAGGGGTGGCAACCAACGAAACGCCCAACTATGCTCACAACTACCCAGGCTTCCAAGGAAAAAAGCGCACCACTGGAGATCTGGGACGTAGGTAGAAATTACACGTGTGCGTATATTGAAGTACATCATTCGATGTAAATATGTATGCATAAACCTATACGAATACGTACATGTGTGCTTCTGTATCACCAAGGTGATTGGTTGTATATACATACATGGTCATGTGTAAGGTAAACCCTTAAAGTGTTGTCGTATATTAGGATGCAACAGCCAGCCATCAAATGTGGTGTACTGGTTCGTGTGTAACCTGTTGCAATATCACTTTATGGTACATTGGTGTGTATATATACATATGTACCAACAAGCTTTTTGACATGCTTCCTATTTGATGGTTGTGCATGGGGTGAAAGTAGATATCACTGTCCCCTTTATGTGGGTAAGTGAATGATGCTTTCGCCCAGCTGTAGACTGGTGTCTCTTTCCCTTTTTGGTGTTTTTTTTTTTTGGGGGGGGGGGCATTCTACCTTGGGGACCCCATAAACTAGCTGGTGGTTGGAAGGGGGCCCGAAGCTGCGGGTATCCAATTTGCTTTTGGAAGCGGGAGCCTTTGGGAGCTACCAGGAGTTCCGGTTGGGCACATGGTAGTAAGCCCTTATATAATGGGCAGTTTGGATTGGTGGTTGGGGACAACTCCGAACTACCAACTACGGGGCAGATAGAGCTTGCTTCTATCATATGTGGTACATGTGACAGTGACAACTATGTTTGCAACCCCAGTTTGCACCAGTCACAACCATGTTTCTAACTTACTACTCTCCTGTCTACTTCCCCAAAACCCCAAAACCCCAAAACCCCAAAACCCCAAAACCCCAAAACCCCAAAACCCCAAAACCCCAAAACCCCAAAACCCCAAAACCCCAAAACCCCAAAACCCCAAAACCCCAAAACCCCTTACATGGAGCCAGCCGCAGAATTCTTTTATTTTTTGGTTGCAGGCGTACGCAGCGCCGCCTGGGCGGAGGGGGCCGGTGTGGGCCCAGGATGCGCCTGCGGCTTGCGCAGAGGGATTGCCTGATCCCTTGAAGGCAACCCCAAGAAAAATGCCCCCCCAACAGCCCAACAGGCCCCTTCCCCCCAAAAACGGCATCGCATCCGATGTGTACCCAGTTTTCAGCTGATTTTGGGGTACGGGCCAAAATTACAAGAACCACCAGCGCCACCGGAGTTTGTCTCTAACGTGTGGGACATGGAGCCCGAGCCCCAAACATGGGATGGTTTATCAGGTTTGTTTTCGTGAGGAGGGGCGCTGGGTCGAAGCTTGATGGCTCCAGGTACGCTGGCATGCTGCCAGGGGAAGTCACTTGACGCATGTTTCAGTTGGGCTGGATGTGTTTGCTTTCCAGGGTCTCGCATGTGGATGCTCCACTTGAGACATTTGGTGCAGGCGTATGTTGCCCAAAATGGCATGTCTGTGGGTTTCCATTTAAAACCAACCAAAACACGGACTACCCCCGCCCAAAAAAAAGAACCCCCAAAGAAAAAGACCCATTTTGAGAATCCGCAGTTTCTATCCCCCGGCCAAGCTCGAGGCCCAGCGCCGCCCGTGAACGCCGCCAAGTATGGGGCGAGCTACCGGGCCGGGGCCGCCCGGGAGTCGGGGTCGGGGGGTGGCGGCGACCTGTTTTCTTCAGACTTTGGGACCACTCCTTCCACTTGGGCGTGTCTTTTTTAGGGGACCCCCCCCAAAATGGTGGTTTTTCTTTTGGCTTCCCTTTAAAAACCATGCAAAATTTGGGTAATTACCCGCGACAAAGAGATATCGATTTGGTTGAGGGTCAGAATTAAACCACCAGAAAACCGCAGGTTTTAGTCCTTGATTTGGTTGAGAATGTTTGATTATTTCCTGTTGGTTTTGAAGAGAGTCTATGGACATTGTCTATTGTTTCGAGGGGGCGAAGAAGCAAATGGATCACTTCTGGTACGGGCCAAATTGAAACCAACCACCTTTTTGTCTGGGTCCAATTTGGGGGTTTCTCAGAAGAGACATCATGCCGATGTGCCATGGTCAAACGACCGGCTCCCTTACTTGGGGCCAGGGATGGTCATCCACCTGGCGGTAAAGATGCTGAATGACCACTAGAGTATTGAGGGAACCATGACCAGAGGCCAAACAAGCGGAGTTTTAACCAGCTCTTGTGCTTTTGTGAGGGGGCTCCCCAATGAGACGCGCCTCTTGAATCCTTTTCGATCGGGCAGAATAGAATTCTCAGTGCCATATCTTTTGCCCCGAAGGACCAATCTCCGGACAGGACGGCACGAGGGGCTAAGGAAGTGTCTTTGATAGCGACCGAGTTGCCGTTAAAGCACCCCCCAAAATCCCAATCTCCTTTTTCGCCCCTTGTATTGTGCTATTGCATGTTGTCCCTAGTGTGATCCTTGCAGTTCTCCTTCTTTTGCCCTACCAACAGCATCTGGAGCCGTTCCTCAGGTTGGCAAACTGTACGGCATGGCCTCTAAGTGGGGAACCCCCTCAGGCTGGGTTCTCTTTGATCTCCCACTCAACCAACCAACCGCAATGACCAGCCAAATAGGCACACCTATCTGGGTTTGTCTAAAAATACCCCCCCCCCCCAAAATGAATGGTTCCTTGTGGTTTCCCTTAAAGCACCCCCCCAAAACAGGTACCCCTGCAGTGAAAATTCCGCTGAACTTGGAAGGCTCTTAGCCCTGAAAGCTTCGGGGGTCTCTGCCCGAGCAAGCTATGAGGTGGTTCGGAGGGGTGCGGAGGTTGCAGGGATGTCGGTGATACCTCGAAGACTGGTTGTGGTGATAGTTTTGCCTAAGAGTCCATCCGCTGGTTTGGGCATGTCTTCTTTGAGGTGTGGGGTAAAAGGCGAGCTGAAGGGGAGCCGAAAGCACATGGGACTCTTGGAGCCCCAAAAGCGCTCATTGGCGGAGGGCCTTCTATCACTCTCTGTGACCCCAAGGGAAGGCACCAGGGAAGGCCAGCAGAGGGAGCATTTTCAGCCATGTTGCTCCCGCAGAGATTCGAAGGTGTGGCGTCCCTTTGAGTTATATTGTCCGGGCAGATTCTAAAAAATGGATCAAACCGGATTCAGAGTTTTTTTTAATAGTTTGTGAACTCCAGTCCTTTGCTCAGCTAGCTGGTGGTTGGAAGGGAGCCGTTCCGGAGCCGGGGCAGCCTTTGGGAGCTACCAGGAGTTCTTGTCCCAGTAGCCAGTGACTTGTTTTCGTGGTCATCGTTTTATGTGCTTTCGAGGTGTCGCGGATGACGTACGACAATTCCGGGGAGCAGGCTGCGCAGGCGGCTTCGCGGGGTTTTGGAACCCCACAGCATTCTGAGCTTGAAAAGGGAGACGGCTGCGCCAGGGTCGTGTCAAAAGGTGGCTGAAAACCAAGTAAGGACCCACCAGACTTCGCGTATCCTTCATTCGTGCTATCCAGCAAACAGTTTCACCTCGGCCCACCCATTTGCAACGGAGCAAAGTATCGTCGAGGCTCTCATTGCGTGTTTGGGGTGTCTATAGAGGCGTGCGCTTCTCTTTTGGGGTGGGCCTGGCTTAGAGGGAAGCCAAAGGGAGACCACCCATTTTCCTCATTTTTGGGGCAACCCAAGGAGGTAATGAATCCAGGCAGCCCCACCCTTCCCGCCCTGCAGATGAAAGGTCAACCTAGAGGAGGATGGTTCAACAGTGGTTTATGCTTTCAAACCACTACTCCCCTGAATTGTTAACATGATTCGCGACAAGAGCAGGTCCTTTTGGAAGTTGTTTATTTTGGTTGCCACTTGCCGTGATGCCCTATATTTATGTGTTTTTGTGTTTATTCAATTATGAATGGGGAACTGTGAACAAGAGTAAGTCCACCAGAACGACACAGTCATTGGCTAGGTTCCTTTTGGTTCCTCTTCAAGACAACTTCCAAGAGCAGGGCGGTGGACACTTGTTGACTTTTGGGCGCCACCAACTGGTGATAGCAGTCCCAGTGCATCCTAGGCACGCCCATCAAACAACAGTTCTTTGACCGTTTGAAGGGTGGTTCCATGGGTTCCCTATTCTGCTGGTCGACGGATAGATGGAGGCTGGGAATGATCCGATCGCTTCCCTCTGAAACGGGACAGTCCAAATTGATTGATCAACCAACGAAAAAACCAACCAACCAACCAACCCAACCCAACCCAGCCCAACCCAGCCCAACCCAACCCAACCCAACCCCACCCCACCCCACCCCACCCCACCCCGCCCCGCCCCGCCCCACCAACCCACCCACCCACCCACCCACCCACCCACCCACCCACCCACCCACCCACCCACCCACCCAACCAACCAACCAACCAACCAACCAACCAACCAACCAACCAACCAACCAACCAACCAACCAACCAACCAACCAACCAACCAACCAACCAACCAACCAACCAACCAACCAACCAACCAACCAACCAACCAACCAACCAACCAACCAACCAACCAACCAACCAACCAACCAACCAACCAACCAACCAACCAACCAACCAACCAACCAACCAACCAACCAACCAACCAACCAACCAACCAACCAACCAACCAACCAACCAACCAACCAACCAACCAACCCAACCAACCAACCAACCAACCAACCAACCAACCAACCAACCAACCAACCAACCAACCAACCAACCAACCAACCAACCAACCAACCAACCAACCAACCAACCAACCAACCAACCAACCAACCAACCAACCAACCAACCAACCAACGCAGGCGCTGTGTCACCAGATTTCTCATATGACATGGTCAAGGAGGGCCGTATGCAATTCCATATTGTCGGGCTCGCGTGGATCCAAGATGGAGGAACGTGGGGCGAAGATGAATCCTCGCACTGGGAGTTAAGGACTGTATGCCCAACTTCTCAGTGAATGGTACATTTGTTGCTACAATGGTGACGGCTTTGTGTTTTTGAGTCTTGGTCACAAATGTTTCACCAAGACACTTACATAAAGCTTGTATCTGCGAAAGCTGATTGGATGGCATGAGAGATGGATGAAACTGAACCTGCTAAAGTATCTGGGCGAAGGTTTGGGATACCCCAGTATGTGGGTGTGTCTTTGAGGTAACCGCAACAAAAAGTGGTTTGCATTTGGTTTCCCTCCAAATCCACAGACGGTGCATATCCAGAACGAGCCCGCGGCGGTTTGGATTTGCCCTGGGTTGGAAGGAAGAAGGTCCTCGTTGTTCAAGATCGATCCTTCATGCTGCCAGATGACTAGTTTGCCTTTTTTGCGGTGCCTTCTATGGGTTACGAGGGATCTCCCACTGTTTTGAAGAACCCTGTTGTCAGGGGCATTTCCAGGTATGGATCTGGGAGGTTTAGATGCTTATGTACCTAACAATAAGGCAGTACGCCCCTTATACAAGTGGCAAGAAACCTCCACACCCCCAAAACCACTCCCATTTTCAGTGCCCTTGAGGTTGGGGGTGAACAAATCCCCCCGCTCCCCTCCCCCCCCCCCCCGGCAGGCTTCGCATTCGATGACCCCGGGGCACATGAGCGAGCGCGGGGAGTTGACGCCGGGGAGGACTCGGGACTCGGCGCGAGCGGTGCGAGCGGTGCTTGTGTACCAGTCACCAAAAGAACGATACCCGAAGCAGCCAAACACCAACCGTGGACATTAAATGAGAGGCACAGAGACTGGTCACATGATATACTAGGTCCCCCAGCTAGGTGCCTTTGACCCATTCTTTTTTGGTTGGGAGGGTTCCCCTACGAAAATAGACAGACAAAACCGTTGGTACCCTTATTCTAACCTCTCAAATCTGGAGGACCTAGTGTATATACATACATATATATATATACTGTATTAATTATAGATGGCGCCCTTCATGGAGCCCGTTTTCGATTTTTTAGATGACAACATGCGCAACAGCGCACGCCGGTCCCTGACCCAAAAGGGTTCGACAGCATGGGCTCGCCTACGTTCAACGCCGACCGTTTTTTTTTTTCTTGGTCGACTTGAGGTCAAGAAGGTGATGGGAGTGCCAGGTTTGTCGGGAGAATCGGTTTCTTTGGGGATATCTATGGCCTTGTGCAAGTTTCCTCGCACTGTTCATTTGCGGTTCAGAACAGTTTGCCATTTTAGAGGTCCCCTCTTGGTTTTAAAGGGAATCGATCACTGGACATATTTGCCCAAGAGGTAACTGGTCCCAACAGAGGGGTCCGTCAAGGACCCTGTCTGCAATTCATATGTTGGTCACAATCGCCGTGGGCAGGTTTTTCGGCAGCTCACATTTCCGTTGTCCCCATGGGTCCCATGGAAGGGTGCATCAAGCTTCCAGATCCACGGAGTGGCACGGAGTGGTGAATTGGGGGTGATGTTTTCGGGGGCGGGAGTTTCAATTGCGGACGCTTTGGCGGATATATCTCCATCAACCATTGTTGACCGCGTCCACCAATAATAACTCGTAGCCGTATGGGTGTTTTTCAAACTTAAGATCGATTCCTCTCTTGCCCGGCAGGTTCTTTATTTAACCCCCGGCCTTGCAGGTTCTTCCTTTCTTGGCCGTTCTTGGGGAGGGGCGGACCCCGGGGGCGGCACTAAGGGTTCTTTCTAACCCGATGAGCACCCCCTCTCTGGAGTGCCCGCTAGCTGGTTTTTGCCGTTTCGGCTCCATTTTTTTTGGGTTCCCGCCCTTCAGCGTTCAGCTGTGGCCTCTCTTGTCTCTTGGTTTTTGTTTCTGGCTGTGTGTGTGTGTGTGGGTTGGTGCCTGCTTTGCTGCTCCTCTCTTTCCTTTTCCTTCTCTTCGTTCTCTCTTTCCTCTTTCTTGTTTGACTGCCCTCTCTTTCTTCCTCTTTTGGCCGTGTCTTGCTGGGTTGTGGGCCCGGGTGTGACCCCGAGTTCCCTTCTTTCTCTTTGGCTGTCACTGCCCCCCCCCCCCGGCGCGCTGGCCGGTGCTGTGCGTGTGATCGCACTCTTGGGTGTTTACTGCTGGCGTGAGCCGGCAGCGGGCCCCTGTGGGCGTGACTCCGCAGGCTTCCGTCTTCTTGCGTGTGTAGCTGGTGTGATCCGGCTGCCCCCGTACGTCATCCTGCCCGCAGGACTCACGGACCTGTGCGCGGAAGGTGCTTTGCTGGAGGGCAGCAATGCGTCGAGCGTTGCGTCTGCCAGCGAGGTGGACCGCTTGGACCTCCAAGTTGGCACAATGGAACAGCTCCCTCGCTTCTCTGGCACGTGTCTGGGTGACTGCGTGTCCACCTTGCGTTTTGTGTCGTTGCAGTCCGGCGGGTCTGGATGCGATCGGTATGACTGGGGCAGGCACTGGGGCCGATGCCTCTCCGCCCTCGGCGCCGACGTTGGCGTCATTGCTGAAACGCGTGTGCGAGGGGAAAGGGCTCGCTGGACGGGACTGAGGGTTCCTTTCCCTTTTCTGTTGTTTGTTTTGTTCTTCCTCGCCATTGTGCAACTCGGCCGCATGGGCACCCAGAAGCTGGCAGTGAGGCCTGCTATGACGTTTGCGGAGCAGTGCCGTTGACCCGACACCGACAGTGGAGGGACTGCTCGGACCGCAGAGAAGTTTACTTCTCTGTAGGTCGCCCTCCAATCACATCCAATCCAATCCAACCAATTCCTCTCGGTGGCAACGGTTTCCCAGAAAAAAACGGCGGCCGGATGGCCGTCTCAGGAGCAGCGTCGCGCCGACAACCCAGCGCTCTGTGCAGGGGGTTGCCAGCGGCCGCTCCCAAGGCGGGCTTTTGCGATTTTGTGTGTTGGGCCGGGGCTGACGGCGGATCTGTTCCGAACCAACAAAACACGTTTCATTTTGGAGGGTGGTGGTGGTGGTGGTGGTGGTGGCCGGCGGCCGATCTTGTGCGCTAGCCTTGGCATGGTCCCGACAGTCTGCAAGACGCACGTCAAAAACTTTGAGCAGGTTTGACACCCCAAAAGCGACCTCTCCACGAAAGCCAAGGGGGTGGGGTACCCCAACTCACTCCCCGAGTTCCGGAACTTCAGTGGGCGTGGCGCAAAATACAATGGCCAGGGTCGCGCGGGTTTTAGTCTTGTTTCCATTTACCAAAGTGCAATTTTGGGTACCATCTTTGGAGCCACAGCCTGGTCAATCTACTTACAAATCCACCGATCGCCTCATTGATCAACACCCAGTCATTCAGGTGAGCACCAGGAAGACCGTTTTAGTTCATGTGGGCTGACTTCTTGCGAATTCCAGAGACTTCTGGGAGGAGTTTGGTTGTTGCCCTACTGGTCAACAAAGAAAAATGCAGGGTCACCAAGAAAGTACGGAAGGAGCCACTGTTTACCAAAGGATAGCACTGTTTAACCAAGGAAGGATGCCACAAAGAAGGCATGAGTGGTTGTCCAAAGCTCGGAGCCTGCAGGCATGCATTACCTGCATTTTTCTGTTGATGTTTGGGTTCCCTCTTCAATCAGTTTCTTACATGTCAGGAGACAGGAAAGAAACATGGTTCACCATTGGACTGCTTGTTTGCCCATCACAGATGTTGGAGCGAGCCATTTGGGGGGGGCATTGCCAAGCATAAATAGGGAGCCCTTCAACGGTGGTTGTCAGACATAAATCCCCACCCAAATGTTGGTCCCCAATTAAAATTCACACCCGCATGAGTTGACAAAAGCCGGCCGTGTTGATGCTTGACAAAGGTCGACTCTCTTAAGTCACCTTTGGCTGTGTCAATTTGGCGAGACAGCCCCGCTAGGTTTAGGGCCAGTCGCCTTTTGCCTTGCCTGATGGTAACCCATTGGTTGTTTTCACGAATGGGTGTGTCTTTTTCTGACGGACCCCCCCCCTGTCTTGTGGTTTTCTAAAGGGATATCGAAAGGAAAACCGAAGGATCCCAACTTGGGGATCCCGATCCTAAACGGCACCCAATAGCACCATTCAGATCGCTGGGGTTCCTTTGGGCCAGAAGGCTGTGAGCCTTTCTATCCCATGAGGTGAAGAATAGCAAAGGATGGGTGTGTCTTGGAGTTGGTACTTGTTTGGGGGCAGCTGTAAAGGGAACCCAACAGGCTGTTGGCTTCCCATGTCAGCCACGGTGGGATCGCCCGGACCAGGTGCGATCCTCAGCAAAACCGGGGAGTTTGTTCGCTACGACCCGGCCTCCTACAGGCGCGAGCCTCTGCGCGCGAGCTGGGTCTTTCATTTCCACCTGTCAAAGGTCCCTATTTTTTGACCCCCCCAAAAAAACAAAAATGCCACGTTCCCCCAGCAAGGTAATTGCTTCGACTCACGCATCGAAGAACACGCGCCGCGTTTTCGCGTCCCCGCGTCCACGTGCCGCTTTCGTCCGGTTCCACGCGGGAGCCAGGAACGCGGCTATGAACTCCATGGCGAGGATGCCAATGAGTTTTACACCCATGCAGGCGCCGCTTGGGTGGGTCAAAATGGTTTTGGTCCATGTTTCCACTTACCAGGCTTCCATTTGGGGTACATGTTTTTGACCCACAGCCGCTTGAGAAAGCGCACACCAAAGCCCCCATCTGAGATCGCGGGGGGGGGATTCGGTTTTTTGGGCAGCGCCACATTCGGTTTCGGATTGGGGGGGGGATTCGATTTTTTTGGCCCCTCCCGCGGTTGGAAAAAATCGGCTTCCTTCAAAATCACGGGCTTTTGAGCCCGTTTCATGTGTTTCCAGGTGGCCCGGATGGTCCTGGCTTGTGAGGCTTGTGACACGTGGCCACGTGGCTTAGAACCCGCGGCACAAGATCCACATGTTCGCCACGCACTTCATCGACGATCCAAATATGTTTGGGGTAAAACAAACATGGCGCAGAGTCTGTACATATTATTTGTGGTGTACCCCGGAGTTGGGACTAGACAATACGCATTGGATGTGTGTTTTGTATAGAAGAGTGTGAACGGGTAATGCACATGTCTTGATGTCTCCAGGTTGCTTTGAGGAATCCAGGGGAGATGGAGCCAAGGTCAATCATTCCCTCCGTTTGGCTGGTGGGTCAAAAGCGGTGGCCTTTACCTCTGTGCAAGTGGCTAGCTCTTGCAGAACTTTCTCACCATGGGATTTTGTCGAACCCCCCACTGGCCAATCCCATCGGGAGAGAGGTGGGAGATTTCTCGCTTCGGGACCCGAGTCTTGGCTTCTATTTGGATCGTGAAGCTTCAGCTTCTTGGAGATGTGTTTGTTCCCACTCACTCACACAGACAGTGGCGCACTTTTTGCATGTTTCCCCCCCACTACTCACCTGTTTGGATCAGTGGTGTGGGGGTTTGAACCCTGGTTTCCTTGGAAGCCAAGTCAGGAAGGGAACCCCCCCCAAACCAAACCACCAAGTAGGGATAAGGCGACTTCATTGCTATTGGGTTGGATCTTTAGACTTCAACTTTTTGGGAAATCTAGGGGTTTCCATTGAACCCACACACACACACACACACGCATTTTTTTTGTTTTGCGGAGAGGGGTCAACAGGAACCAAGGTGAAACAAGTGGCATCGATGCAACTCGGGAGCTGGTCAGGTGCAGAACATGGGGACCTCTGCCGACCAGCCGGGCGTTATGGCTCTGGCCCCCAGAGGCCCGAGACCACTTTTCACCACTCACTCCGAAAGAGTTCCGGACTCTAGTCGCGTCACTTTCGGATTTGGTTTTGGGTGAAAACCAATGGGATCCCATTTTGGTTGGTAGGTGAATTCGCCACCCATTTTAGAACCTATTTTAGTGGGGATTGGGATGTTCACTGGGTACGGGACTTTGACCCATGGCCATTTTGGGCAGTTTTAGTGGGCAAATAAACAGTTTGGTTAGTACTTTTGTTTGGCCAATCCGCTCGGGAAGAGAGCCTAGGTTTCACAGTTTCACATGACGGCTGCCCTTGGTTGCCTATCGGGGTAACTGGAATCACCTTTGGCGTTAGTGGAAAGCATTGAGGCTACTGTTCAGGTTCATGGTGAATCTTACAGGTTGCGGCCTTGAGCTATGTTGAGTACTTGGTTGGTAGCTAGTTCGGAGGGAACTCCCATCATTATTCCAACCCGTTGCTCCTTGTCCCCTAAAGATAGAAAGAGCCCTGGAAACCAAAAGGCTTCCATCTTCACGAGGCTCTTTGAAGTGAAGTTTACCCACAGGAGTTTCGTGGCAAGTTGTGACACAAGGAACAGGGTGGTGATGAAAGCATCGCAAGATTTGGCCAATGTGAGGTGAGGTTTTTTTGGTGGAGTGATGTTTAACGGCGAACTAGGGGGAGCCCTGATGAACATTGACTATGGCTTATCTGAATCTGAGTCCAGAGATTTGAGCAGTGAGAGAGCTGTTGGCTGTTGGGGGCGTTGAGCTTGGCTTTCGACACCCGGTGGCCTTTGAGATCGAGTCGACCCCCGAAACTTCCCCAGGTTTCTTCCGATACGTTTAATGGGTCTTACTTTTGGGGAAACAGGGGGAGGTGGAACATACCCTCTGTTGCACAGAAACTTTCTTTTGGACCCTCCCTTGAGTTCTGTGATTTGTAGAGCTGCGGCATTCGGCCCGTTAGGGTCTTGGGAAGATTCACTCATACTAGATGGACAAGATCCGCTTACCAGCTCGTAGGTGTCTTTTTCCATTCACGGGGTTTCGTTCATGCCAACTGGTTCAGGATATTGGACATCCAGTATGACCCCTTGGTATGATTCCTGGTTTACTGGGTAATCGGTAATTTCTGGCTTGGTGGATAACCAACCTTCCAAACAGGTCCAAAAGGCCATGGGTTCAAACACGGATGTGCTGGTTTGCTCTTGTTCAGGGGACCCCCACCAAAAATGGGGTACCAACTCCAAAACAAGAGAGACTCAGTAGAATCGGCCTACCAAGGCCCTTACAGATGATGCTGGGCTCAGATAGTGGATCCGAGCGCATAACAGTTGGAAGGCACAAGGACCTTCGCCGTTTCCCCGTCTGCGGCCAATTTGTTTGACATGATAAGTTTGACTTTATTATTACTTTTTGGGAGGACCATTTTGGTGTTAAACAGACAGTGTAGACTTTTTGGGCCAGTCCACTCAGGAAAGGAGTTGTTCATTAGCCAATTATCTTCAGAAAAATGTGCGTTGAAGGCTCATTTGCTCAAATGTGTTCTGACCGTTAACTTCCCAGCTTTGATCCATTTCTTGTTTAGTTCCAGTTTTCTTTTGGCAAGTATGGCAAGTGGCAGACAGCAGCCGGCAACGGATGAATTCAGAAGGCGTCTCAGTGAGTTGCTTGAAGTCTAGTGACGCTTTGCAATTATGCTTTGCCCTCACAGGATCACTTCAATCGCTCGCGAGATGTGGGAATCCGAAGCGTCGTCAGTTGAAAACTGCCGGCGGTTTCTGGCTTTCCAGTCCTTTGCAAGGCTTCTGTGCCCCGGCACAGGGCTCAAGTTAGGTGTTTGAGGCAGGCATAGCCGCCAAGGTGTTTCACCCCAGTTCTTCAGTGGAGTCCGGGCCTCTGTAAATCCTTTGTTTGGTGGCTTTTCCACAGAACATGGACCCCTCAAAAAGGGGTCCTGTTTCTATATCGTCACTGAACAACTGGGTGACCGGCACTCCTCTTTAAGAGGATGCGACGCCTATATAATGCACAGCTCTCTCGAGCCCATCTAACAGTCTCCAACAGTCTCCGAGGCGGAGCCAATCAGTGGCGTCTCTACGTACCCGGTAATTGGGGTGAAGCGCGTGTTGAGTCCAAACTTTTGCATCAAGACAGAGCTTCTTTCGAGCATGGTGTCCTTACTTCCCAAGTTTGAGGGCATCATACTTGTTGGGAGGATCTTTTGAAGTGGTGAACTATTGTTTTGCACGGGCTCATCTACTCAAGAAGTTCGCGCCCACATTCGGGATGTCCATCCGCGGCACTCTGATGTTAAAGTCCCCTTTTTCTCACGCAGACGGAAGTCAGACTCTGATACGACCACGTCACTCACTCCCTTTTTCTTATGAAGGGGTTCCCTGGGAAGAAGAGCATCTCCATGGGAGGTTGTCCAACACGTGCTCGATTTTGGGACGCAGGTTTCATGCTGGCCTGTATCAAAGGCAGATTGCATACGCCCTTAGAAGCCCCTCACAACGTTGAACCCCCGAAAAAACCCTTTCACATTGAGCCGTAACTCGGAGTTCATACCAGGGATTTTTGGGCTACCCTAGGGATGGTATGCGACTGTTTCCGGAGAGAGGAGCGCTCTGGAAACCCCAAAGCCTTCATGAATTGGTCAAAATACCCAGATGGACCGCTTGGGAGATTTTCAATTTCCCAAAACCAAGAGGAGACCCGCTAAATGTCCCATACTCTTTACGGAAACCACATCTTTGACCCTGTCTGTGCACGCGTTGCGATGTTCCAGATTCCAATTTGAGATTCGAGTTGCGGGTTACAATCCTAGTGGATCCCAGTCGCCAGCGCAGGTAGCCATCCACTTGCGGTCACTTTCCCTGCAGACTTGGAGCGGGGAGCCGCAAGCCGCAGATCCCGCCGCGCAGCCGTTTGCCCTTGGCCTGGGCCCAACGGACGTGGGCTGCGCGGGAGCGCGGGCGGCCGGGCGCTGAGCTGATGGGACCGCCGCCCGTTGCAACGTGTTTTCTTGACTGCTATTGGGTTGGATCTTTAGACTTTTGGGAAATCAAGGGGTCTTCCACGAAACCCCCAAAAACTTGAACTTTTTGCAGGGTCAGCAGCAACCAAGTTTTGTGGCTTTTGCCGGCCATGATTCAGCCAAGCTCTGTGGTAGACAGACCTGACCTGTGGAAACGCCGCCTTATTGCCTAAACGTCGCTCTCGAACCCAACTTCCACTTGTTGTTTGTGCCAAGTGACGATTGCTTGCCGAACAGGACGGACAGTTTTTAGAGAATGAAGCCGTGGTTTTTGTCCCCTCCTTTCCATCCTTCCCATCGACCCCTTCCATCGGTTTGTCACCCGCGCGTATCTCCCGAGTCCGGGAGCTGGGGGATTGGCTTGGCCAATGTCCAGCCGCGCTCCCAGATCCGAGCTTTTGCTGCACGCGTCAGGTTCGGAGCTTTGGGGGTTTGAGCCCCACTTTTTCTAGGTCCCCCAGTGCCCTCTTACCAACTTTTTTTTGGGGGAGGGTTCCTCTACTAAGATAGACTACAGGAAAAAGGGTACCCTTCTTCCAAGCTCTCTAATGGGGGGTTTAGCTGAATACCGGGTCAGCTGCTTGGTATCCTTCCATCCACGTCGCCAATGAACCTGACTGGAGGTACCTTGACTCCAACAAGCATTTGGTGGGTTCCGTGTTAGTGCACGGGATCCAACGTCTTTGGCTTTGGTGGAGGTTTGAAACCCAGGTTTGGCTTGTGCAGATTGATCAACCTTGGGCGCATTTGTGGCTTTTCAATCAGGCCGGGCTAGCATTCTCCAGGAACGTCTATCGCTGGATGCATGAGGGCAGAGGAGTATGATGGCAGCGGCCGTCACTTAGAGCCCGCTGGGGCTGGGCAGGTCCCGCAGGCAGCGAACCTTTCGGCAGAAGAGGTTGATGAGGGTAGCAGGTGTGCCTCCCCAAAGCTCCAGATGAGCTTTGTCGCAACAATGGCAGGGTTTGTGATTCGTGATGAATGTCCAAGTCGTTCACAAATTCGGGCGGATCCCGTGGGTCAATGGTTGTCTGACTTGCGATATGTTTCGAGGCTCTAATGTACTCTTGGTGCAACCATTACTTCCATTTGCTTAAGAACATGTCTTATTTTCCCTTGTTGGTGTTAAAGGGAATGTATCGCTGCTTGACACATTTCAATCTCTCAGGGGGGGGGTTAAGCAAGTGGAAGCTTACCTTTTGGGAGTTCCTCTTGGCCCATCTTCAAATCCTTGCATTATTTTTTCAGCCAGACACACCACTTGTTGCTTGCCAATCTTAGACGGGGTTGCTCAGAGACTTGAAGATGCAGGGCCCATGGCGTACAAAGAGAACCCACTTGAACCAGTCGAGGTGCCCGCTTGAAGGAACCAAGCCTGCGTTTCGTTTTTCTGCGTTCATTTGGTGGCTGTTTCATTTGAACATATAATTATACAGAATACCATGTCTTGAACCTTATGCAATCTTGCTTTGCATCTGACAAACCATGCTCCTTCTCGTTTGGATAGTTCAAACACCTTAGCTTCCTGTTGCAAGCATTGGGACCCAGCGATCCAAAGGGATCCTTACCCACTTGCCCAACGCCAATCGACCTGCTCAAACGAAAAACGTCCCCAAAGAATTGTGGCTGTTGGGATTTCCTTTTGCCAAGCCCCAAAGGGTGCCCTATCCCTAAGGACAGATCCATGTAGCACTTCCTGCAGTTTGCGTGACCTCCCAGTGATGAATCATTTGGGGACCATGGGCTCCGAACGGAGTCTGATCGCTCGCGACAGGAGCCTCGTCTCAAGCGGGACCCCCAAATTTCCAAATGGCGGGTTTTCCTTTGGCTCCCCTGAAAGCCAACCTGACAAAGGGTAGGTGCCCGGCTCCCCTCTTTGAGGGGGATTCAGACCACTTTTGGAGGGCCCCCCCACCCCCTGAAGTCGGCATTTTCAGATATGGGGTTCGGAGGTATGGAATGCTATAGAAGCAATATAAGCTTGTCAGGCAGTCTATATCCCTTATAGATATAACCTCCATGCCTCCAAAACACATACAGCTGTGTCTTTTTTGGATGGTAGCTTTTTTGTTGGTGGTTTTGAAGGGACACCACAAGGACAACTCTTTTTTTTTGAGGGGGGGTTATACAAAAAGAACAATAACCATATCTGAAACCACCCCTAGGAGTCTGACACGGGAGCTTTCGGAAAGCTGTCGGCTGAATCGCTCGCGCACACCGCGCCCCCTTTCCCGAGACCTCACGGTGCGGTTGACCTCGCCGGCGGGCCGCTCCCGCATCGTGCTGCCTGGCAACGCCACGCGGCGGCCCCGGAGGTTTTTTTGGGGCGAAAAATCAGGGGGGCGGGGTGGACGGGGGGGCGAGGGAAGGGGAAGGGGACTCGGGGGACCCCAATTTTCTAGATCTGGCCCACCAAAACGGATGTGTAGTAATTAATGTATAATATGTTCCTTTTGGCATCCCCCAAAAACAACCCCACCCGGAATGCCGAGCCTCAACATCGACACACACACACACACACTTTTCCAATGTTGGAGGAGTTTGGGATTTCATCATCGCCTTGTCGTGGCACCGTTCTTGATGCCATTATGTAAAGAATCCGTCTACAGGATACCCGGCAATGTCCAGGATGTTTGCCGACACTAATGGTAGTTGATGGAAGTGGCTGTCTAGCTTGGAGGGTCCATTGTCGAGTGAATGCAGAAACATGTAGAACATACATGGCTGTATGTTTGCATACATATATATAACGTGATGTGTGTGTGTGTGTCGTATAGTTTGGTGGTTATGTAGTCACATACTTGATCTCATGGCCACATAGCGGTTTTCCTCCTTCCTTACATGTCTGCCTTGAGCACCGAAAGGATTCACGAGTTGACGGGTTTGCACATGGACCGTCAAGGAAAGGGGCCTGGAGGCTGCCCTGACCGTTCGGCACATGTCCCCCCCCGAAGCTCTGGCAACAGGCGCTGAGCACGGCTGTCTTTGTGTGGAGTTATTGCAGCGGAATTGGGCACTTCCTCTACTTGGGTTAACCAAAGTCAGGTAAGTAGGTGCATAACCATGGTTGCAATCACCCCAGCTACACTAGTTGTAACGGTCAACCAACGTCAGATCTGATGTAACTGCAGTGATCATCTCCTTATAGCCATCCATGGTTCTCTCTTTTGCCCAAAGCCGACCCTTCGACCTTTTTGTTGGTCCATGTTAAGGGACCTACAAGGTGATCACCTTCTATTTCTAGGTTCTTTGGGACACTATTGAAGGGGAAGACCTGCAGAGTAAGTCGCTTACTTCACCATGGTTATAAAGGGAACTCCCCCCAGTTACACCAACTACCCACCAATTC